AAGTACATTTCTTCTTGGATTGAGGAGGAAAGACACATTTTGCCAATGGAACAAGACAATTTACATTGAAAATAAGAAAACACAATTGCATTGTCTTATTTCAAGTGCATATTATTGAATTGTCTTATTTTAAGAGTAAAAATACTGATTCCATTGGCAAACTATATCATTTACCTACTCAAATTAAGGGTAAATACACTTAATTTAAGACATTTTTTTCTTATGTCTAGATCGTTTTTCCAGTGAAAGACCATAGAATTCTAAATAAGTCATTTTTTTCACAAAATAAGAGCTTTTTGTCTTCAATCGAGGAGCTAAGTGAGACACTTTGCAGATGGAACAAGACAATTTACATTTAGAATAAAAGAAAACCGTTGCATCGTCTTACTTCTAGTGCATATCATCTAATTATCTTATTTTAAGAGTAAATATTCTAATTCCATTGGCAAATCATCTTATTTACCTACTCAAATTAAGGATAAATCACTTATTTCTACTTATTTTTACTTATTTCTAGACGGTTTTTGCAATGCAACCTTTAATAATCAGTGGAAAAATAAGCCTCCAAACGATCCAACTATTTCTCTTTGAGGCTGGAAGGCCTCCTTCCCATCACCCTAAGCTTTAGCTCCTTCTGCTGATTCTCTTTAGGATTCGGATCAGAACGTTGATGCGTTCAGCTCAACTTGTGAGGAACAATCTTTATCATTTATTTTAAACGACCAGTTTAAACTTCAGATACGGAGGTTTTTAAATATAAAAGACGCGCAGAACAGAAGAACTCACCTATTCAGCCAGGCCAACAATTCCCTCTAACGACCCCCCTTTTCAGAGACATAGACAGGTATGGGGCATTGCAGGCTAACAAAGGAGCCAAACGACCCCCATTCCAAAGGGGGGGACCCGTTCATCCGTTTCTATTTGCATGTTTTCTAAACTAAAACCAGGCTTTGTTGGGCTGCTGGATAAAACCTGGAACTAAACGCTATTTCTGACATTTTGGATTGAAAAAGCTTCCTGGATGGAAGAGAAACGTCTTCAAACTTGGAAACAAAGTCCAGAGGATTGTTTTTAACTTTTCTGCAATGATTTTGACCTGGATGACTGAGAATCTTCACCAGCAAACAGATGTGTACGCTTCTCCATTAATTATAGTTTTTTATTCTCCTACTATAACGCTTTAAGATCTAAATTCTACCGTTTTAATCTCCCTCCCTCGACATGCTGTAGGAACTGTTTTGTCACCTTCAGTGACCCAAAGCTGGAGAAAAGCTGGAAAGATACCGCACTGGAAAAAAATGGAAATCTAGATAAGTTATTTTTTCCTAAAATAAGTGCATTTGCTCTTGGATTGAGGAGGTAAAAGAGACATTTTGCCAATGGAACAAGACAAATTACATTTAAAATATGAAAACACAATTGCATTGTCGTATTTTAAGTGCATTTTATCTAAATAACTTCTTTTAAGAGTAAAAATACTCATTCCATTGGCAAAGCATTTCATTTACCCACTCAAATTAGGAGTAAATTCACTTAATTTAAGAAATGTTTACTTATTTCTAGATCATTTTTACAGTGTGGAAATCCAGGACTGGCTTTGATAAATGGAAGCCGGGCTGATTAGAAGCCACAGCACACCTAGATTAGACACCTGCTAATTAAAGAATCAGATCATACCCAGTGTGTTACCTAGGGATGTAAACAAATAAACACCTCAGGATTAATTGGCAATTAATAGTTTATTAGATTAAAATTTGTTCCATCCAAATGATTGAAAACGTCTAATAAAGGAAAAGTCGCTCATATTCAGAATCCAAACTTCTAAAAGTTCTTTAAATCTGAAATGATTCCATCCTGTTCAATAGATGATCAGTGTTTTTAATTCAGAGTAATTTTCATGTGAATGTGCTTTACTGGAGGCATCCCTGTTTGTCAAAGAACACTACTGCCACCTACTGGTTAGTGACGTCACGGTGCGGTATCGGCTGTTGATCAAGTCCCAGTGCTGTATCTGGTGTTTGTCACAACGCGCTATTATCCAAGTCATCTTGAAAACATTCTTCTTCCAAATGTTGGCTACATATTACGGGTTTTTTCTCTGTTACTATATTTTTAAAGCTAAATTTATTAAATCAACGCAAACATATTAGTTTTAGGTATAAATAATGATCCAGTTATTATTTTTTACTAACTGGAGTTTTCCTTTAAAAGAATTTCTTTCAGTGCTGTAATATTACTGCCATCCACTAGAGTGGAGGTCTTCAACAGGGGGTCCGCAACCCCTACAGGGTCCACAGAGGTACTGCATGAGGGTCGCGAAAGTTGTGGTTGATTAGACTTTTAAATCTAATTTCTTCCACTAATGAAAATGTCTTTAAATCCACATGAACATGATTTCAACAGACTGTAGTAAACAGATAAATGGAGGCAGAAGATGTCTTTCAGTCATCAATGCTCACATTCAGCGACACACAGGAGCTCTTTCAAGCTGGGCACCGTTTCATTCACAACACCTGTCCATTCTAAAAGGGTGGAGCCGTTTCTATTTGCATGTTTCTAAGCCAAAACAAAGTGTTTTTGGTCCGCTCCATAAAGCCTCAAACTCATCGCTATTTCTGAAGCTTTGAATTTGTGAAGTTAGGGAGCTGAGGCGGAAGCATTTTCTTGCAAGAAATAATGTTCAAATTCATGTAACGTCCTTTTGGACGGAGGGAGATAGAGCTCTCTGACTGAGGTATCATACATTTATACCTCACACACACTTTTCCCCCCAGGGGAACCAACCCACCCCCTGCATAAAGAACTTTCTCACACAAGAACATTGGGTTATTCCCAAGAAAAAAAAAAAAAAAACACCTTAATTCATCAAGAACATAAGTTTTAGCCAGACAAACGCTCAGCAAAGGTCTCTCATTCACGGCATGAAGGAGGCTGTGAACTCATTGTTATTTCTCATGACCCTCCCTTCACCCTCGTCTAGAGTAGGGAGGTAACTGCTTTCTGTCCCCCCCACCTTTAACATTACAGCATAGTGGCTGCTATTCAGACAGGCACACTCAAAACATTTTATCTCACAAAATAGGCCAAGGAAAAATATTAAATATCTTTATATTTCATAAAAATATTATTCCACAAATTGAACTTCAAACTTGGAAAAAAATCCAGTGGATGTTTTTTTTTTTTGTTTTTTTTTTGGGAATGAGTAAGAACTGGATGACTGAGAATCTCCACCAGCATATCTAGTATTATGTTTTCAGAACAGGGGCCAGCACCAGTTCTGTCAGGAATCCAGTTTTTGTGGGTTGTTTTTGTGTTTCCTTCCCTCCACCACCAGGTGGCGCCTGGTTCTTGTTGGCCTTCTCACACACCTGCAGATGGTTGCCTCATTACCGGAGGACTCTTAAGCTTCTGACTGCCACTACCTCGAGGCCAGAGTGTTAGCCAGTTTTGGGTACTCTAGCCAAGCTGAGTTTTTGCTGAGTCAAACTGAGTTTATGTCAACCTGAGTCTTAATCCTGTTGTTTTTGTCTTTGCCTCTCGGCAGGAAGTCATCCTGCAAACTGGATGTTTTGGACCTTCTCCCCCTGGAAGGATCGTCTGAGCTTCAAACTGAGCTGGGGATTCAAACTGGAGGTTTGGGTCTACTTTTCCCCAAGGATTGTTTGAGCGTCACACTGAGCAGGGGATTCATCTCCACAAGATCCCTTCAAGTACCGAAGGAAATCTAAGTGGCAGTCAGTTCCCCTGTTCCTCAAGGAAACACCTTAACCTGGGTAAACCCTGTCCGCCCTCCAACGAGTAAACCAATTTCTGGAACAACCCACACCGACTGGTTTCAAAGAAAGACACCTTTTCTGGAAACGTGAGTCCCTTTACTCCCTTTTGCAAATTGAAGCTCAAATTTCCCACTGAGCCTGAACTAACCGGTTCGCCAGTCTTCAGAGCAGCAATGGACCCATCTCTACCAGTTCTCAATAAACTTTTTAAACCTTCCCCTTGTCTCTCTGATTGGTTTTCTGCATGTGGGTCAGACCTTAGAAAAAAACATGGCAAGTTCTACAGGGGCACTGGCCCCCGTTGGCTCCTGCCTAGGACCGCCCATGGCCATCAGCTCACATTAGACAGAAATGTTTTTAAAAATTGTGTGGTTTTGATCCAGATACTGTGTCTAATCCCAGACATTAGAAATAAGTTGATTCTCTTCTTGTGTGAATTTCTTAGGTTGCTTCTCAGGGCGGAGCTAGATGGGGGGCCAGAGGTGGCCATGGCCACCCTTAGCCGATCATTGGCCACTCCGGTGGCCACCCCTACCATTTTTTCCCCCATCTAATACAGACGGTGGCAGCAGTAACACTCTCATGTGGAATATTCCAACTTATTTAACATTTAAATTTTTCATATATTACAGTTACTTGACAAAAAATAATTGTTAAACATGCACATCAAAATACTAACATTTAAGTTGATTTATACAGAATTCCTGCTCTTTTCAGAACAAAATTCTGTGTTATATGGGGTAAAGATAAAATTATCTGTCTCTGCAAGTCATCTACATGTCTTTAGTGAAATCATTGATAAATAACTACTTTAATAATAACTTAAAAATCTTCCCCCCAGTGTAGGTTGGTCATTGACTGGCCCCCCATCAACATTTTCTAGCTCCGCCTCTGTTGCTTCTTCCTCATCTTATTGCAGGAATCTCCCACAAATCAAGCATCAACAGTCATTTAAACTCAGCAGATAAATGATTTGACTTAGATAAAGCAACTGGTGACCTGAAATAATCTCTAAGTTCTCAACCATCAAAGATCTGAGCAGGAGACCAAATCCAGATCAGAGGTTTTCTGTCCAGCTGAAGGTTGCAGAAACTCACTGGAGTAAAACTGGATCCTCCAGAGCAAACAAAGAGAAGCATGCATGGATTAATGCTCTGATCAGAGCAGGGAGAAGGACATGCAGCAGGCAGCAGGAGGAGACTTTGCTCAGTTTTACCTGCTAAGATGAGAGAAAAAGCTTCAGCTCGACAAAAAACATCCGAAAGTTTCCAGTTTCAGCCCAAAGCTGCTGAACTGAGATCAGCTCCGCAGCTTCATCCTCCTCCTCATCCTCCTCCTCCTGTGGCTTACTGGAGAGCCTCTCCAGCCCTGAGCGCCTTCTCCAGCTTTTATACCCGCGCGCGCATCGCAGGAGGAGAGTTAGGCGGCCTGCGGCGCCCCCTGCCGGCTGAGTCTGGAAGCGCAGACAGCAGAGGAGTCATCTGGCTGCTGGAGACCAGAACGAATAGTTCAAAATCTCTTTTAATTCACAAAAACCTTAAAAATTTATTTAGGGACTCAAAATTTAGAATACGACAAAAAAGAAATAGAACATTTAAATCAGAGCTGCAACTTTTCTAAGCGTTTATTCTCTCATTAGAATTAAACAACTTTTATTATCATTTTGTATTCAATCAAAATCTAGGAGTCATTTTTTTTCTTAAAATAATTGCATTTGTTCTTGAATTGACGAGATAAAAGAGACATTTTGCCAACAGAACAAGATCATTTAGATTTAAAATAAGAAAAATCAATTGCATTGTTTTATTTCAAGTGCATATCATCAAATTATCTTATTTTAAGAGAAAACTACTTATTCCATTGGCAAATTATCTAATTTAACTACTCAAAATAAGGGTAAATACACTTAAGATAAGACATTTTTACTTACCTCTAGATCATTTTTTTCCAGAGCACAGAGTGAATGCAAAAGGACATTTCGTTTAGTAGAGCTTTTCAGACAGAAAATGAACATTTCCATTCTTTAAAGTGCAGCAGTGATCTATGACAGAGTATTAGGGCAAGACTAGAGATTTATTTTTCTTCTATTTCGAGATTGGAGTCGTTAAATTAGGATAATAAAGTCGTATTTTATGACAAATTCTACAAGAAGCCCTTTCTTCCCTAAAATGAGGAATGTGGAGCATCATGTGAAGTTCTACTTTAGCATCGGTTTGACTAATCAGGAAATCTTTTAGCAGCAGCATCAAACTGGGCAGGATGTCAAAGTGGACTCAGGATGGAGCAAGAGAGGAGGTACTTTCCTCTCTTCAGCCAGGTGAACAATCCCCCCTTTAACGACCGACCCTCAGAATCATAGACAGGTTTCAACCATTACAGTCTAACAATGGAACCGAACCGAGAAAGCTTCCTGGAGGGGAAGCGAAACATCTTCAAACCTTGGAAGCAAAGTCCAGTGGATTGTTTTTTAAACTTTTACGGAATTATTATGACCTGGGTGACTGAGAATCTTCACCAACATGTATAATGCACAATTCACTAATAGGCTACATTGAATTATACTTTTTAAATAAACTGAGGTGTCAAAAGTATTCATGTTTACTACTTGAGTAGAAGTATAAATTCTGCTGTTTACAAACACTTTATAGAAGTTAGTGTATCAACTTCTGCTTTTTACTCCAGTAAAAGTTAACCTGACTCCGCGAGATGGATTTGCTCCGCATATCCATCTGGAAACCTTCCGTTGAAGTAATTTTGGGAAGGGGCGAAAATACTGGTTAGCTGATTGGCCTATGTTGGTGATAGACGGGCCAAATAAACCAATCAGATCAACGAAGCATATGACGTGCTAACAGAGCGACGACGAAGAGGAGCCAATTGATAGATCAAACTCTTGCCGAAACCAGTCTGGAGAAGAGCAAAAACATCTTTTCCTCTGAGAAAAGCCTCCAGAGCAGTGTTTTGCTCTTCTTTCAGTGAAGAAATACTCTGTAATTCCGATAAAACTTGCTCGATAGCCACGCTAACGCTAGTTTCATCGGCTGAAGCCGCCATGTTCTTTAGACTGAACCGTCGCGCTTCTCGTTGCGTCACACCTCAACCCGCCTCAAAGCCAACGCTGATTGGACGTTCGTTTGGTGAACGGCTCCAAATTTTCTTTAACGGAGAGTCTCCAGACTGATCTGCGAGTGAAACCTTGAAAGCTCGCGAGATCAGGATGGTCTCACGAGGCTATATGAAAGTGGTCGTTTTTTGCTAAATACTTTCTACACAAATAACATTTTTGCTGTTTGTTGAAAACAGGTCCAGCCTTCCTCCTAACTGGATTACTGACTCTCACAAGAGCAGGCAGCTAAAGCTGCCCCACCTTCCCTGGAGACCAGGTTCCTCTAAGGATGAGGATAGGTCAGGTCTAAGATCCACATCAGCAGAATGGATCAGTAGCAAGGCTCCGACTGTTCCACATCAGCTATTCTGTCCTATCTGACGGCTGGCGCTGACGACGGGATCCTGACAGCCTCTGTAAACCATCAGAGGTCCGTTTGGACTGAGGAAGACCAAATTCTCTACGTCTATTTAAAGAAGCATGGTAAAAGCAGAGGTGGGTGCTGACCAGGCAGGAAGAGGTGAGTTAGAGAAGCTCCTTTATTTATGAACAGGAAACGTCCACCAGCAGGAGTCCTGAGGAGCCCAATAACAACAATTTACAGCTAGAAACAACTTCAGCCAGACAGCGGGGCCGCTGCCATGGGAACCTCGTTGCGTCACACCTCAACCCGCCTCAAAGCCAACGCTGATTGGACGTTCGTTTGGTGAACGGCTCCAAATTTTCTTTAACGGAGAGTCTCCAGACTGATCTGCGAGGGAAACCTTGAAAGCTCGCGAGATCAGGATGGTCTCACGAGGCTAAGTAAAAGTACCATTTTTAAAACTACTTAAAGTATAAAACTAAAAGTAATCCAGGAAAACATGATAAGGCCAGAAGCTTTACTGCTCTACCTTATTAAAGGAACATTTTTCTACAATCCTGATAACTTCCTTAGATTTTATTTTTTTAGTTTTATTACTAAAGGTAACGGCGTCACATTTAAATTTGCATCATCTTGAAAAACGATTTATTTTGGTTTGTGGTGAGCAACAAGTTGGGGCAGCACTGAGTCCAACAACAAAGAAATTAATTGACTGGAAGAAATAAATTATTTTGATGGTTCTTTCTTTCTTTATTTATTTATTTATTTTTATGAAAATGAGCTTAAATGAAACAAACTAACGAGTCTATTTTTAAAATGTAAGAAATAGAAATAAAACATTTTCTAAAAACTAATTACTCCAGTAAAGTATAGATAGCCAACATTTCTATGCAAGTAAAGTAACAAAGTATTTGTACTTTACTTGACGCCTCTGGAAGTAAATAATCAAATAACTAATGATTTAAAGTAATTAAAGGCAATTAAAATATGATTGATTTGCTGTCTTTATATTTATAAATAAAAAGTGAAGTAATTTTTTCTACCTTTAGGAGGTCTCCTGTCTGTTATTTATTTATTTTTTAATGCTTTATTGGCAATTCCGTGTAACATTACAGAATTAATCAAACATCAAGCACAGATAAACAACATTTGGTGAAATTATAACTTTAAGAAAGACGAGACATAGAAGGTAAGAAAAAAAAAAATTAATAAATAAATAAACAAATAAATAAATAAAATAAACAAAGAAATAAATAAAATAAACATTAAATAATAATATCTAGGGGTTACATTGAGTTTACGGTCATTTACAAACGTTTTTTCTTCTTCATAAATTTAAGTGATTGAAAATACAAACAAAGTTCTTTAAGAAAAACGTTCCTTCTAAAATATTTGTGAACTTATTTACTAGAAGAGATTCACTTTCACAAAGAATATTGAACTTTACATAAAATATTCTATGTTCTGGTGGAGATTCTCAGTCATCCGGATCATTCCAAAAAGTTAAAGTTAAAAAAACAAAAGTCTGGACTTTATTTTCCAAGTTTGAAGACATTTCGCTTCCCATCCAGGAAATTTTCTCAATTCAAAATGTCTGGATTAGCGTTGAGTTCCAGGCTTTTATAGAGTAGCCCAACAAAAGCCTTATAAGGGATTAGAAAACATGCAGATTGAAACTGTAAAAGAAGCTCCACCCCTTAATAATAGGGGTCATTGAGGTCATTATTGGCCTGCAGTACCCGATATTGGCCCATTCCTCTGAAAAGGCAAAGGTTAAGGGTCATTGTTGGCCTGGCTGACCTGGACAGATATTTTGCTACCCTGCACAGCGATGGGAGTTGAGATGGTATTAAAAGGAATCAACTCTATCGTTGCATAGATGTCTTCCTTCACGCCCCTCTCAAACCACCTGTCTTCTTTGTCCAAAATGTGAACATTCTGGTCCTCCAAAGAATGTCCTTTGTCCTTCAGGTGTAGATGTAGCGCAGAGTCTTGTCCAGAGGAGGGCGCTCTTCTGTGTTGGGCCATGTGTCTGTGGAGAGGTTGTTTGGTTTCTCCAATATAAAGATCAGAGCATTCCTCACTGCATTGAACTGCAGACACCACTCCGCTCAGATTGGGTCTGGGGGTTTTATCTTCAGGATGAACTAGTCTCTGGTTAAGCATCTTGTCAGGTTTGAAATGTTCTGGGATTTTGTGTTTGGAGAAAATCCTCTCCAGTTTCTCAGAGACTCCAGCAAAATCTGGGATGATGATGTTTTTTTGTTTGATCTTCTCACCGTTATCTTCTTCTGCGTGTCTTTTGGATTTCCTTGCTGATTTGACAAACGCCCAGTTTGGGTATCAACAGGTTTTTCAGAGCATCTTTGATGTGTTTCTGTTCATTGTGTTTCCCTTCTGTTTGAGTAGGACAAATATTCTATGATTTGTACAGAAAAATACAGAAGCCACTATGTGCATCAATAAATAAACGACATATTGTAAAGACTGCATCTTTACAATATGGAAAATAAGGAAATGAGGCACCGTCTCTAAGCCACCAGCAGATGTCAGTGTTGAGTTGAAATCTTTTCTCAGCTGAAGTCAAGCTTGAAGCTCAGCTGTCTGGATGCCCCAAACCCAGCTGGGTCAGGTAACCAGGGCCGGATTTAGGAAATATGGGGCCCTACCCAAAGACAGGCAGGGGGCACATAGAACAGCCCCATTCTCCAGATAGAGAAATGTTAATAGAATAGACATCCATTATCTGTTCTAGGTTGTGTCCCTCTCTTCTTGTCCCTTTTCTTCTTGTTTTCCTCTCTATGTTTTGTACTCAGCTGACTTTTCATGCTGTCTCTAAAGGAATGAAAGATTTTTTCCAAGCACTAAGCTCACTTAGCTGATTGCTCCTTCCTGTGTTTCCAAAAAGGCGACGGCAAAAGTAAGCTGAGACACACTTAATATTATCAGCGTTCTGATGGCATTTTAGCCAAAGGATTTTTATCAAAAACATAATTAATGTGCACAATAAGGAATAGTTTTATTAAACATACATGTAAACAGAGTTTTATGGGGCCCCCAGGAACTTGGGGCCCTGGGCAACTAAGAGTAAATACTTTATTACTGTACATAAGTAGCTTATTTTAGTATCGTTATTTGCTTGAATGTTTATTTTTCTGAAGACTTTTTACTTTTACTCACCACATTTGAACACAAATATCTGTACTTTTTTAAAATGAGATTTTTTTTTCTTATTAAATATCAATAATATGATGTAACAACTATAAGAAAACAGAGGGGAAATGTCTGGAACAAACTTAATTTATTGTTTGTAGAAAAACACCAATAATGACATCAGAGGTACAAATACTTCTTTACCTTACTGAAGTAGAAATGTTGGCTATCTTTACTTTACTGCATTAATTATTCTTTAGGTAACTTTTTATTTTCTACTCAAATAAACTCCTTAGTTTTGTTTCATTTAAACTCATTTTCATTCTGGCCTGTTGGTATTAAGAAAAAAATTAAAAACCATAAAAATAATTTATTTCATCCAGACAATTAATTTCTTTGTGGTTGGACTCGGTGCTGCCCCAACTTGTTGCTCACCGCATACCAAAATAAATCGTTTTTCAAGATGATTAAAAGTTAAATGTGATGCTGTTACCATTATATACAAAATAAAGAAAATAAAATCTAAGGAAGTTATCAACCAGAATTGTAGAAAAATCTTCCTTTAATAGTGTAGAGCAGTAAAGCTTCTGGCCTTAACAGTTTGCATTACTTTGACTTTTATACAGGTGCTGGTCATAAAATTAGAATATCATGAAAAAGTAGATTGATTTCAGTAATTCCATTTAAAAAGTGAAACTTGTATATTATATTCATACATTACATACAAACTCATATATTTCAGATGTTTATTTTGTTTAATTTTGATGATTACAAATGACAACAAATAAAAAATCTCAAATTCATCATATCAGAAAATTAGAATATTACTGAAGACCAATAAAAACAAAGGATTTATAGAAATGTTGGCCAACTGAAAAGTATGAACATGAAAAGTATGAGCATGTACAGCACTCAGTATTTAGTTGGGCCTCCTTTGGCCTGTATTACTGCAGCAATGCGGCGTGGCATGGAGTCGATCAGTCTGTGGCACTGCTCAGGTGTTATGATAGCCCAGGTTGCTCTAATAGTGGCTTTTAGCTCTTCTGAATTGTTGGGTCTGGTGTATTGCATCTTCTTCTTCACAATACCCCATAGATTTTCTATGGGGTTAAGGTCAGGAGAGTTTGCTGGCCAATTAAGAACAGGGATACCATGGTCCTTCAACCAGGTACTGGTAGCTTTGGCACTGTGTGCAGGTGCCAAGTCCTGTTGGAAAATGAAATCTGCATCTCCAAAAAGTTGGTCAGCTGCAGGAAGCATGAAGTGCTCTAAAACTTCCTGGTATGTGGCTGCGTTGACCCTGGACCTCAGAAAACACAATGGACCAACACCAGCAGATGACATGGCACCCCAAACCATCACTGACTGTGGAAACTTTACACTGGACTTCAAGCAACGTGGATGAAGTGCCTCTCTTCTTTTCCTCCAGACTCTGGGACCTTGATTTCCAAAGGAAATGCAAAATTTACTTTCATCAGAGAACATGACTTTGGACCACTCACCAGCAGTCCAGTCCTGTTTCTCTTTAGCCCAGGCAAGACGCTTCTGACGCTGTCTGTGGTTCAAGAGTGGCTTGACACAAGGAATGCGACAGCAGAAACCCATGTCTTTCATACGTCTGTGTGTGGTGGTTCTTGAAGCACTCACTCCAGCTGCAGTCCACTCTTTGTGAATCTCCCCCACATTTTTGAAGGGGTTTTGTTTCACAATCCTCTCCAGGGTGCGGTTATCTCTCTTGCTTGTACACTTTTTTCGACCACATCTTTTCCTTCCCTTCGCCTCTCTATTAATGTGCTTGGACACTGAGCTCTGTGAACAGCCAGCCTCTTTAGCGATGACCTTTTGTGTCTTGCCCTCCTTGTGCAAGGTGTCGATGGTCGTCTTTTGGACAACTGTCAAGTCAGCAGTCTTCCCCATGATTGTGTAGCCTATAGAACTAGACTGAAAGACCATTTAAAGGCTTTTGCAGGTGGTTTGAGTTAATTAGCTGATTAGAGTGTGGCACCAGGGGCCATCAATTTTGAACCTTTTCACAATATTCTAATTTTCTGATATGATGAATTTGAGATTTTCATTTGTTGTCATTTGTAATCATCAAAATTAAACAAAATAAACATCTGAAATATATGAGTTTGTATGTAATGTATGAATATAATATACAAGTTTCACTTTTTAAATGGAATTACTGAAATCAATCTACTTTTTCATGATATTCTAATTTTATGACCAGCACCTGTACATGAAGTAGCTTTAAAAATGGTACTTTAACGATTTTACTGAAGTAAAAAGCTGAAGTTGATCCTTTAACTTCTACAAAACTGCTTTTAAACAGCAGGATTTATACTTTACTGAAGTAATAAACATGAATACTTTTGATGCCTCTGAGTGACTCGGTAAAGAATCCGATTCATTTTCTCATCCGTTCCACTTTTTGTTTTTTGTTTTTTAGTTTTGATGTTGATCATGTTTTCGGTTCTATTTCAAATTTAATGCTATTTGCAACTTTAATGCTGGTGACGACGAGAGCTCTAAAAATTATTCAACTTTTATGCAGGACTTCTGTTTAGTTCGATCGATATTATTCTGTCTGAAATTACAATTTAGTACCAAACTAGTCTGAATGTGTATATTTTATGTTTCCTCTTATGGCTCAGTAAGGAACAGAGAAAAAATACCTTATTTCATGTGTATAGAGCTGCTTTTTTAGGAAGGAAACATAAATGATTAAGCATTTTTTCAGGTAAAAACTTTATTTTGTAACCAACTAGAATGTATAACGATATATTTACTTAAGTGAAGAGTATGTGTACTTATATATATATATATATATATATATATATATATATATATATATACAGAGAGAAAGAGCAAATTTACGCTGCCATATAGCCGCATTTACACATTAACACTTGTGTAATATTTGAAGTACTTTTAGGAGTAGTTTTACTGCATCATGCATCACACCTGTCCTCTGCAGCAGACTTTAAAGGAGCTGAAACCTTTAACAGCCTGTTTGAGAGAAGGAGCGCTACCGCAGGTCATTTATCCCTGCTGTAACCAGACTCTACAATGCAACACTACAACCGCAATAAGTTGTGCAATATAAGTATAAATATACATCTATATAAATACCAATGTAAACACCCTGTGCAATAACCCTGAATAATGATCCTACTATAAACGTTTTTTCAAAAGCTGCCATACGTGGACGCACTGTATAAACTGCATATATCCCATGCACCTTTTTTCTTCCTTTGGCACATTCTTCTTCTCCTTTGATAATTTGAGCTGATGTAACATGTAACTTTTCTCCACTGTGAGATCACTAAAGTTAATCAATCAATTAAACTTTTAATTGAGTAATAAAATTTGTGATAAAACTTCACTACTCTTACTTGATTAAAATGTTTGGTTACTCCATCCAACATAAGTAACTTCACTGAATGATAAATAGCCTTGTTTTAAACAAAGGTGATTCAGACAAAGACACAAAAAAACTCCTGTGAGGATTGATTTCATACATTTTATTTCAAAGAGAAGAAGCATTTATTTTGCCTGGATTTTTAATTATCAGCTGTAGCATTTACGCTTTTCAATTGTTAAAATTATTTATTATATTGTTTGAAATTGATTTTAAAAAGTCAAGAAGTGACAGTAAGAGTAAAGGCTTTTATTTTTTAAACCGGAAGTCGTGCGCATGGTCGTTCAATTGTAGAAACGCGGAAGTGGTTCAGATACAAAGGCTGTGACGGAGTTAGGTTTTACTCTAAATACCAGTTTTCCTGTGAAGCGGAGAAACCAGATCCGTAAGTTTCGTTTTTTTTTAACATCGCGGATTTATTGATTTCTCGCTTTTTTCCACTTTTTGTTCCGGCGGATCAAAGTTAACCGAGTTTAGGCCGAAAACGCTAAACTTTTTAAAGGTGTGTCGTTTTTAAACTGCGTCTAAAGTGTAAAAGTTTATTTTCTTCTTAGTTTTGATAAGCTTAGATTGGTCTGTGAAACAACATTTTTGTTAACTTGGTTGAGTTTGGATCTTAGGATCGGTCCACATCCGGTTTGGGTTTATTCCTGTCCGTCGCGTCGCTCTTCGGTTAAAATAATCTGTTCAAAGCCATTAAAATAAACTCCTGATGGTTTAAAGTGAAGCCGAATTCACCGCAGTGCTTTACTTATTTCAATCGTTACATTAATCTGACCCCAAGATGATTTTTCTGGTTTATACAGACATTTGTCTGCAAATTGTGAAGATTTATAAACAAAGTTTGGTTACCAGAATAAGCCGGAAGTACCTTTCAGGTTAAAAGGTTAAATTCCTGTCAGAGTTTCCTCTGTGGGTCTCTAAGATGTTTAATTAAATGTTATATTTTGGTTTGTTGGACCTCAGTGGAGACAGATGTTGATATTTGTTCTGAACACATGGCTGACATTTTATTTTCAGTTCCACTTTCAGATGATTCAGGAATTCCCCTTAGAAGACAATACCTGCCAATCTTTTTATGTATTTCTATTCGCAGGGTTAAACTCTGTTTTTTGATTTCTCATATCTTCTCCCTGAAGCTGCAGAAAGATAAAATACTTAAAGCTGATATTAGTCTGTTTATTAATGTAGAGATGAATGGAGCAGCAGGACCTGCAGATAAAAACATCCAAAATGTTTTTTTTTTTTATCAGTTTGATCCTCATGTTTTGGATGAAAACAGGTCTGATCATTTTATGTTGTTTTATGTTTAAATATAAAGATGATTTTGGTCACAGAACAGGTTTGGGATCCTGATAAGAGCCTGAAATGTTGAATAAAAACAGTCCTCTGCGTTTTTATGGGCTGCTGTGAAAACATGCGCTTCAGGAAACAAAAATCCACTGCCACATTTCCTCTGTTCCACCTGTCCCCGGTCCGTCCCCCTGTCCTACTGTCCATTCCCCTGTCCTCGGCCTGTCTCTCTGTCCCCTCTTATCAGTCCAGTTTGCATGGACAGCTCCTGATTGGCTGCTCAGCACCTTTTAGACGTCCATCAGCTTCATCACACCTGGTTCCAGTCAGGATTCTAGGGAACCAGAACCCAGTTCCTCCAGCTGAGTCTGGTTTGTCGGACGCATCTAGATCCGCAGAACCTCGGCTCTATGCGATTCCCCCACCTGGGTCCGTTACCCAGTTAGATCTGGACCAGAACCGGGTCAGACTTTGGGTTAATGACTGCTAGTTTTTCTGAAGGGACTTAGTGAGAAGGATTATCCGTTTGGATCCTAAAGTGTTGGGCTTTGGCGTTTGATCTATCCACCATAGATCTGGAGCCACTGACGCTGATGTTTCTCTCTTGTCTCTCAGCCTCAAAATGTCCGTCTACTCTCCGACGACGGTGTCTACTCCCAAAGACTCCTGCTGTTTGGGCACAGAGGTCCTGGGGAAACCTCGCTTCTTCCTGAAAATCGCTGAAGTGGTGAGTTTGAAAGTTCCTGCCATGTTCTGATTCGCTTGGGTTGTTGTGATGTCATCAGTCGGATGGGTTCTTCCCGACCTCCACCGACCCATCCCTTCATGTTCTCCTCCCGACTGACCCGATTCACGAAGAGCTCATGTTGGAGAGAATCCTACTGGTTCTGTGAGGTCCGGTTCTTTGTGATCCAGTAGAACTCACCTCAGTCAAACACTAGAGGTTAAAACTTCCTCCCTTTAGCTGTAGCTATCTGCTTTATTTTTTACATGTTCTGGTTGTTTTCATGAATCTTTTCAGTTTCTCTCACTTTTTGTGACTGAATCTATGGGGTGAATTTTGGTCCATTATTGTTGCAAAGATGTTTTAGAAATTGAAAGTTGGGGCAAAAAAAAAAGCAATCTAGAAATGAAACTTTTAGTTTAGAGAGGGTTTAGTAGAGATTTTTTTTTAACTGTTGTTTTCTCAGATTTTGCTTTTGCATTAGTATTTTAATGTATCATTCATATATATAAACATTTTTTTTCAGATTAAAGTCTTTTTAAATTGCGTTTTCCAGATCTTTCTTTTCATTTCGGAGGTCAGGCTTTTCCTCTGGTTTGAGGAACGACGAAGCATTTCTATTGGTCGGCTTGAAGTGAAGAAACTGTCTGTAAAACACCTTTTTCCCTTTTTTTTAAGTACACTTCAAAAATAAAAGATTAAATTTGACATTTTACGACCTGTAAAATAAAAAAGTTTAAAGTATGGAGAGAGAAAAAAACTGCATTTTTTTTTCAAATTTAAATTTATAAAACATGTTCTTTGCAACAATAATGGAACAAAACTCACTCCATAGGATTAGGGCTTAACGATATTGATTTAAAATAACACTTAATATTAAGTTTTCATTTGGAATAGGAAAAAAACAATTGCTTTGTCTTATTTTAAGGGCTTGTTATCTAATTATCTCATTTACCCACTCAAATTAAGGGTAAATACACTTAATTTAAGACATTTTTACTGATTTGTGGATCATTTTTCCAGTGCAGTATCTTTGTTGAATGGCAGGATATAGATTTTGTGCTTCTAGAGCTCACTGAGGCAAGGAGGGGGACTCCATTTGTAAGGAGTAGCGATCAAAAATGCTAACTTGCACTATTAAAGGTTAACTACTGATAGTAAAGAATTACAATAGTTCAGCCTTGACGTAATAAACGCATGGACTAGTTTCTCAGCAATCACCCCTGGACAGGAGATTCCTGGAAGTTTCAGCTCCTAAATGCCTCCTGGATTTCTGTGGAAATGCTCCCTCCTTCCTGTCTGCAGCTGCTGCAGAAAACTGACTCCGGTTTAGTTATTTTTTTCTTCCTCTCTGTGACTTTCTGATGTTTTCGACTTGCCGCCTCGGTTTTTGTGGTCGTCCGCTCCCTGAAATACTCTCCATGTTGACTTCTTCTTCTCTGCTCTGAGTTCTCAGCAGTTATGTCACAGGAAGCAGCCGTTTTCACGGCTTCTCGTTTAACAGCGGTTCTGTGAAAATGGGGCGATGGGATCAGATGTGAGCGAAGACGTTCTGCTGCGTCAGCCTGAAGCGCCCAAACAGCTCTTTGCTCTAATAATAATAATTGATCTTTATTAATCTCACATTGGAGGAATGCACCTCTGCATTTAACCCATCCCTTTGGGGAGCAGTGTGGGGTTAAGGGTCTTACTCAGGGACCCAGACTAGCAGTCTGTGGGGGTGGGGCTTGAACTCAGAACCTCAGGATTCTCAGCTCTAAGCCGTGACCGCTGGGCCGGAGTTCTGTCAGACCAGCAAACCATTGAGGCTGATTTATACTCAGAAACCAGGTCGTCTGCATCGCAGTGAACGCAGATATGCCCCGCCCCTTCCGCAGACACTCTTCCACACCTCTCCAAAAATGTAGGTGAGAACAGACAGGAGGCCTCTGATTGGTCAAATCTACATTTATGCGTATTTCCTGTTTGGTTCCTTACCGGCTTGTTTTGTTTGTCTGACCGCCATTGTGAAAAGCGACTCGTAAAGATGGAGCAGCTAGCAGAGCGAGGTGCGTGAGAACGCTGGGACCCTTTTTCCACCTGGATCCCCGCTCTTTTTGGCCCTCCTGTCCCTCCGTTGTCGCACAAACTTCCCCAACTTCCTCACCGCCTTGGCCGTATCTAGTTAGTTAGTTCCTGATTGGCCCTCTGGCATTGTGGTGTGGAATAATATTAAGCATAAATCAAAAATATCTGTGACACGTTGCTGCAGGAGGATAACCAGGCCTTTAATCAATACCCTTTATCTCTTTAGTTTTGTATGAAGAACACAATTTAAACTACCTCAACAAGTTGTGTCCCTTTAGTCATGAACAAAGAATTTAAATACGTACTTTCTGGTGTTTTCTGAAGCGTGTGGCGATCTGACCTTAAGATGTTTCCTGTTCAAAGGGAGGAAAAACTCCCTGAACAGGAAGAAACGTCCAGCAGATCCAGGCTCAGTGTGAGCGGCCATCTGCTGAGGCCGATTATGGTTAAAAAAAAAAACATTTTGGGAAAATGTTTACATTCAGCATCTTATTTTAGTTTCACTATTTTCAGATCACAGCATCAAATATTTCTGTAAATAAAAGTTAAACCACAAAGAGAAAATCTTTCATCAATCTCTTTATTTCAGGAGGAGCTGTTGCTTCATTCCTGCTCTGTCGATATGAAAAGGAATGTTATTAAAGAGAGTAACTAGTAACTTCTACAAAAACTAACCGGGTTAGTAAGTTAGCTTAGATGGGGGAGATGAGGCAGAGATAATCCATTCTATTCAGTTTATTTCTATAGCTCCAATTCACATCATGTCATCTCAGGTCACTTTCCAGTTCACCAGATCATCCAGTCAGATTGATTCAAAGTTTTCTATCTAAGGAAAACCAGCTGATTGCATCGACTCATTGACTCTTCAGCAATCCCTCACACTAAGCATGCTTGTAGCGACAGTGGAGAGGAAAAACTCCCTTTGAACAGGAAGAAACCTCCAGCATCTCAGAATGAGACATCAAGCTTCCCTCATCCTCTGCAGGGAATCGGCCTCCGCTCATGTTCTCCTGTTTCGGACCGGATCCAGCGGATGCAGAACCAGCCCAGATCGGGGTGTGATCACGCCCTGCGCCATGTTGGAGCCGAGTGTCGGGTCCGTGTCTGGTTCCGCTGCTGGGGGCGAAGGAGGAGTAAGAGCCTTCTGACCGTACACTGGGCTCAGAAACCGGGTCGGTACATGAAACCAAACCTGGGCTGAGGCTTCGGTACCGGGTCCATGTTCTGATGAGCGGCTTCATCTTACGGTGCTGGTTGGCTTCAGCAGAACTAATCCGACCCAGCTTCGGTATGATGGTTAAATGGAGCCCGGTCCGGTTTGGTTCTAACAGAGTAAAATGTTCTGATGGTGTTTGGACCTGGATCCAGAACCACCTGGTGTTCTGGGGGACGGAGGGAGGTTTTAGTCTCTCAGGTTCAATGGAAGAACGGCCCGTTTCTAAAGGTCAAAGGTCACCTTAAACTGGGTCAGAGGCCAGAATTCTGATTTCAAATCTATTAAAATCCCCTGATCACTAATCAGGGCTAATTTCAAACCAAATGGTTCTGAAAGGTGGGTCCAATCGGGTCTGGTTCTGGTTCTAGAAGGTCACTCAGAACTGCAGCTGTGGATTTTTTGTTGTTTTCTGCTGCAGGTTTATCTCTTACTGCTGGGTTCTGAAACCGGGTCAGAGGTCCGTGTTTGTCAGAGTTCTGTTGTGGCCCAGCGGCGCCGTGAGGAGTGGACCTCCTGGACTTTGGTTCCTCATCCGGCAGGAAGCCGAGCATGGAGAAGCGAAACTATTGCAGACACAACCGTTTGTCTGGCATCAGCAGATCTGGGCCGGTTCTGACCCGGCACTGTTGCAACAACTAACTGAAGGGTGTGGGGGTGGGGGGGCATCTGCCCCCCCGACCCAACCCCCACCGGACTCTGCATCAGAACAACCAGGAGAAACTTTAGCCAGAGCGTCTAGAAAACCTCCATATTATTTATATAAATGCGGGTATCATAGAGTTACAACATGAATTAAAATATATTTATATTTTCTTATTTATTAACTCAATAAATTGATTGAAGAATATCCAGATAACGATGAGGCAAACATTCTGACTTCGGCAGATTTACAGCTGTTCACATTATTTATCGATCCGTTCGGTCCCAGCCGGGTTTTAATGGGGACACTGAATTAGCTTTATATAAATAAACTGAATTGATGACTGCGGTTAACGGGTCGGCTCCTGGTTCTGAACTCTATGGGTGCTGGCGGATAGTTCTGAAAAATCAGAGCCGTGCAGGACTCTGGTCTGAGCCATCAGTGAGCGTTCAGGACCAGTTCTGTGCAGGACCTGATTTAACCAGGCCCAATCAACCATAAATGTTCTGACATCTGAACTGAAGAAAAGTTTCCAGGTTCTGTTTTCGGGTCCAATGGATCCGGTTTCCTCATCACCTCCTCTCTCTTTAGAACCTTAGCACCACTTCCTGGATCCTTTCACAATAAAAGCCTTCCTCTTTCCTGGAAGCGCCTGACAGGAAGTCTTCAGTTTTTTTCTGCTGGATGATTCCCGCCAAGGGGACGGTTCTGTGGACCATCAGAACTTCAGTCCGTCTGCTTCACTGATCCTCGGCTCTGTGGTTCTGGACGGGTTCTGTTCTCTCTTCTGTCTGCAGGATCAACCAGCAGTAAAATAGATTCACCTTTCAGCCTCTAGAAGCTTCTGGGTTTTAGTCTCAGTCCATCAGAACCAAAACAGAACATTTATGATCTGAAATATCCAGTTCACCTGAAAAATTACAGAAAAAAGCAAACGGAGAATAAAATCCAGTGTAGATAATAGCATCTAGAATGAGTTTATCTGATTGTCTCATAAAACAGGAAGCTGTTTAGGAGAGAAGTGCTGGTTCTGCTGAGTCGCAGGTCGGGCCGTTGTTCTCAGACACACCCAGAACCGGTCCGCTCTGCCTGAAGCTGTCTGGGCGGTTCTGCAGCTTCAGCCTGGGTGTGTTTTCAGAGCTGGAGGCGTTAGTCTGGTTCCTGCTGTAGATGCAGCAGAGACCTGAACCAGAACCGCTGAATAACCGGACCTTTATCACATCCGCACCTCACTTTCTGCAGGTCGGCTCATTTCTCCTTTGGAGGCTGGCTGTGTCGCCCCCCTGGTGGCAGAACTTTGCTCTGACTCTCATGTTTCTCCTGCAGCTCTTCTCCCTGGTGGCCTTTGTCCTGGAGGAGACCGTCACCAGCTGCAGTAGCTGCTCCCCTCTCTACTTCTTTGAGTTTGTGAGCTGCACGGCCTTCCTGTTCACCGCTCTGCTCTTAGTCCTCCTCTCCACTACCCTGCACAAGAGAGTGGGCATCACCTGCTGGCCCAAAGTGGTAAGAGATCCAGCTTCGGTCTGGTGTCACTACGCCATCCGTCCTGCTCATGCGCAAACGGATATCCATCCGGGTGTCCATAAATAACGTAATTATGGTTCTAAAATAATTTATTTCTATCCTCAACTCATGCGAAGGACTGAGCAAGCCAAGCATGAGGACACAGTGGTGATTGTCAAAAAACTGGGTTTTATTTCCCCAAAGTAACAATAATCCAAACCAAAAATTCAGGGCCCTTAAAAGAGGTCAAATGAAGAGACTAAGGGCAAAAAAATATCAAGTTCAAACATATTAAACCTCAAACTAACTGAACAAACAAAAAAACTGAGCTGACACACAGCAAACAAAGGGGACTTAAATACTGGCTGATCAGACCAGACTGACACACTGAGGAAGAGGTAGGGAGAACATCTACACCAATTTAACAAAAAATAACTAAACAGTTAGCTTAAGGATTAAACTTAAATGACAATCATTAAACAAATTAACCAAATGAGCAAATCACAAAAGTAAGAAGAATAAATGATGCAACATATTTAAAATGTGGAGTCCATGGTCTTCCCCCATAGTGGAACTCCAGATGGTAATATGCTTCCATACCTATGCCGGCACTACACGGTGTAAGATTAACAACGGCCCAAACCAGTGTTTTAAATCAGACTTTAAGATAATGTATCAAACTTCTTGCGCAAAATAAAATATACTACAGAAATATGAAAGCATTAAACTCACCGCTGGGTTTGAGTTCGCCTCCATGGTCGCCAGCCTGGGTGATACTGGTACTTCTTCAATATGACGGTTGTGTCACGTGATTAGGTGGATGTTGGAATCGGACATCCATTGCTAATGTCTGTGACCTGAAGTAACCTTGGCCATTTTTACAGCAAATTTTTAGACGCTGAATTTGAGACAGTGAATTTGAGCAAGTTGAATTGGAGGACAACGAAAATATTGCATTTGAATTTTGAAAAGTTGAATTTTTTATATGCTGAATTTTTTAACACTGAAAATTTAAACTGTGAAAAATATGTATATTGAAAATTTGATCACTTTGAAATAGGAATGTGAATTTTTTTAATAACTGAAAATTGCAACCATGTAAAAAAAATTACACTGAATTTTTTTTTAATGTACAAATAATGACATTGAATTTTTTTTAGGTTAAAATATATATTCTGAATTTATTTTAATACTGAAAAAGTAAGCACTAATATACAACATTCAAATTTCAGAGGTATTTTTTATTCAAATTCTGATGGCACATATTTACTTCCATACCTATGTCCTCCAGCAGTCTAAGCCTATAGCAGCAGAGCTATAGAGATAGCTCAGGATAACCTGAGCCACTCTAACTAGAAGCTTTATCAAAAAGGAAAGTTTTAAGCCTATATTATGTTTTTCTGCAGCTCAAAGGAAAATTAAACAATATTTGTTGTTATTTCAATGTTTTATTTTTTAAAAAGTGGGCAAAAAAAATGGAGATTTTTGTGCTTTGAGGTAGAAAACCCAAAGATGGGAGCGTGGAGGATTCCTCTACTGCTCTGCGTCTTTTCGGTCCATCATTGATCCAGGAACCCTGAGGCGGTCCCCTCTGGGTGTCCTGTCTATGGTTCCCGGTCCCTGCTGACCCAGTCGGGGTAGACTGGGTCCTCTTGGTTCCGGTTCTGTACCTGATGAACTCTTCTTTCCTGCAGGACTTCCTGTACACTTTGATCATTGCTGTGCTCTTCCTCATCTCCTCCATCGTGTTTGCATCCGATAACGGAGGAACGTCTGTTGAGAAAGCCTCCGTGGTGAGAATCCGTCCATCTCTCTCCGTCCATCACCCCCAACCCCCCCGGTTTAACCCCCCCTGTCTCCTCTGGCAGGCTTTTGGCTTCGTGGCGATGGTGCTGTTCTGCATTGACGTGGGCCTCTTCGTGAAGACCAACGGTAACCCGTTTAGGAACAGCCAGGGCTCGCCCACCACGAACGGCGGCCCAGCTCAACCTGAGGTGGAGAAACTGAATGGCGACGTCCCCGCAGAGTCCAACGGCGCGCAGTAGGCGCCCGCGTCTTCACCTTGTTGAATGTAGTGAAGCGTGACATCAGCTGCAGTCGATCCCGTTTTTTATTTCAGCCTTTGTTTCAACACCAGAGGGCGCTGTGCTCTAAAACCCTGTAGTTTCTGAGCACAGCGCCGCCGGTGATGCGTTTAAAAAAAAAAGAAATCTGAGACAGAAACCTTTTTTTTTTCTTTATTAAAATTACATTAGGAATCAAAGGACACTAAACCCATCAAACCACTAAACCTTTTTAATCCTTCACTGGGAACCAGACGTCTGACTGGTTCTCCTTCTGTCTGCTTTGCTTTTTTTAATATATTAACCGAAAACTGCCTTAAAATCATGATGATGTTTTAGAAACCTTCTCAGATCAGCAGGTTGTGCCATTTTCCTTCTTTTCTTTTAGAAATATATCAAGCATGTATTTTCTGTAAAATGTCTTTTGTATATTTGTTCATTTTCTTCTTAAATCTAAAGGATTTTTTTTTTTTTTTTATGAATCAGAACCACAAACTGTGCCTGAAATCTGAGGCGTGACCCGAATGGCGAAACGGTTCGGCTTTAAAAGGAGAGTCTGGTTTTCCTTCTGTGTCCAGCAGGCGGCACTGCAAAGCTGCAAAGCTTTTTAAACCTTTTCCTTCAGTCGGTCGTCTGTTAATCATGTCAGAGGTGGAAAAACGATCAGTTGGTTTCCTGTTTTCCTCAGAATCTCTTTGTTTTCTCTCGGTTCTTCTGTTTTTATGCGCTTTGCTTCTCCTGGAGCCTCAGTTTGATAATGAAAAGCGATCGATGCTGTTACAGTTTTAATCTTCGTGGTCCCTCGCCGGGATTTACCGGAACATTCGGTCCAGTCGGGTTAATGAGGGATTCTTACTTTGGAAAAGTGATCTAGAAATTCTTAAATAAAGTGTATTTACCTTTAATTTGAGTAGCTAAATTAGATAAGATTTTTACTCTTAAAATAAGACAATCTGTTTTTTTTCTTATTTTAAATCTAAATTGTCTTGTTCCATCCGCAAAATGTCTCTTTTATCTCCTCAAATGCACTTATTTTAAGAAAAACTGACTTGTATAGATCTAGATTTTTTCCAGTGTAGAAACCAGACGGGTTTTTCTGTGTTTATATTCAGGCAGAAACGGTCCGGTTTTTATCAGCCGATCCTTATTGGTTTGTTTCTGCTCCTGTTTTACGGTTTTATGCCCAGAAATTCGGTCGGACTGCAAGTCAGAGAGGAGAGAACTTTTAGGACTTTGGTGCTGCAGATTTCAAACTGAAGATCATTCCGATGAGGCTTTAATCTGAACTTTTATTGTCCTTTTGTTTTTGTGATAATCATGAACCTGTAAAAAAAAGCTTAATCTTAAATGTTTTCTGTCTCTGACCATCATTCAGGACCAAATGTCTCGGTTCCGCGCTGAAGGTTTTACTCTGAAGGTCTTTATGTCCTGCTTTTATTTTGATAAACATTTTTGACTTTATGTCTTTGCTCCGTCTCATCTTTCCTTTGTTTTAAATGTCTCCAGCTGTAGGTTTGTGTTTCTTTTCTTTAAAGACAACAGAATCAGTCCACGAACCAGAAACTATGGCAGGCTGTTTTGACATTTAATAGCATAACTGAATTTTTTATCCAGATGTCCTAATTGCATTTCTTCCTACCTAAGATCAACATTTCAGATCTTTAAAATAACTTTCTTCCTTTCTAAAACTGAATTCTGACATGGATTAACTCTAATTTCACTTCTAAATTATATTTACTGCTGGTCATAATTACTATTTCAGATATCAAAAATGTGTCAAAAATATCAACTACTTATTTTATAACTCGTTAAATTAGAATTCCAGGTATCTCGATTTTAATAATGCTTATCTAAAATTTAGTTTTAACATAAAACAGGCAGGTCCATTAGTCACATTTCTATTATAGATGGCACTAAAGTAACAATAACAATACTCCTAGTCAGAACTGTATTTTAGATTTCACTAATTAGGTTTTTACCAGTACAAGTAAAATTTTAATTAGTCTGGAATCAAATTTGTATTAGTAACAGCATTTCAGATATCTACTAATCTTTACTTATTTTAAGTGGCCGTTTTAACATATATTTGATTGTATTTCGGATATCTTTAATAGAATTCCTTCTATCTAAAATGAACATGTCAGATATTTGAAATATAATCCTTAATAGGACAAAAGACGTCACTTTTCCCCATTCATGTGTGTTGGGTCGTTACTTTCAGGTATTGGAAATGACATTACTTTTATCTGAAATAAAGATTCTGTTTTAAAAAAAATGAATTTCAGATCCGTAATCCGGTTTTTACTGGTCGTCAATATATATTCAGTCAAGCTAATAAATGTCAAAAAGATTTTGAGGTATTTGAAAGTGTATTCCTATTAGTACAATTGTACTTTTGGCAGCCTGAAATTAAAGTTTTGTAAAATTTAATTTAGGATATCTATATGTACAGTTCTGACTAGGAAGAGTCTTATTTTAGAGATTAATAAATGGAACAATAGGGAGGACAGCGCTTCTAATAAATGTCAAACTGGCTTGCCATAGTGTTTAAAGCGTCTGGTAGGTCCACGATGAGGCAGTGGTTTCTGTTTAAACTCATAGAACCTTTTTCTCTACAGAAAGTATTTCCTGGTAAATAATTCACTAGTAGTTTACATCCTCTGTGCAAAAACAGTTTTGTAGAAGAATTTATTTTTTAGATTTTAACAGAACAAATGAAAACATTTCCCTGAGAAGAATAAAGGGAGGAAAAGACTGCAGGGAAATGAAGTTTATGAACGATGGAAGATTTCAATATGATCAATCTTAATCAAAAACTCTCATCACGGATAACAAAAATAAGCATTTTTTTAGGACCAAAGGGTTTCTGAGATAAAAAAAAAAAAACCTTTGTTCATCAGAATGAGCAGTAGTTCAGATTTAATGTTTTTATAATAATCCTAAAGCTTCATTCTCTCCTTTTAGCAAAATGTTTTTATTCATAAATCCTAAAATAATTTTTTAGCTGCTTTAAAAAAAAAAGATAACTTTCAGCAAAGTGTTTATTGCTGAAACAAAAAAAAATTACTTTGAATATTTTACAGCTATGGTTTGGATTTTCTTCAAAGATGGAGGAATAATTTACCTTCTTCATCTTCTTATAGGATCAGGAAAGCAGCGATGAACTCTAGCGCCTCCACAGCGTCGGACACATTCACAGCCGACAGGGACATTAAGGAGGGCCCCCCACTGATGTTCACCTGGGGTCCAAAAAGGCAAAGTCTGGTGTGAGAGAATCACAGAGAGGGAAGGAGGACGACCCGGGGGCTCCTGACCTGAGACTGGAGAGAGGAGAACAGATTAGGTTATTACCAGGAGGAGCTCCGCTTTGTTTTTAATATTTAGTTCATCTATAAAAACAGACAGATGTGGGAATTAACTACTTACATTTACTCAGTTACATTTGAGTAACTTTTAAAAAACTTAGACATATTCTTACCATATTTCTCTTCACTTGAGTGAAATATCCGGTTCCTCTACCCACCAACGGTACCTTCAGCCGTCTGAGAGGAAGAAAAATACAGTAAACAGAAGACATATAAGGTCCTCTCCTAACATGCAGTAGCAGCCGTTTAAATGGCCCTTCCCTGTAAAAAGCAAAATCCCCTCCAACTTCCAGCCACTGGTCTCCTGGGCGTGAATATTTTTTTACTCTTTAGATCTTAAAGAATATTTTAGATGTTTCAGAAGGAATCTTAGGGGACCAGCCAAGGACCCATCGAGGAAAGGGGGGGAATTTTGAAACACATAACCTCCTCTAAAGATGGAAAGCAGTTTATCTTGATGGAAAAAAAAATTCTTCTGCATAAAATTATTTAAATTTTTTATTTTTTTTTCTGTAGGTTTATATTTTATGCATAAAAAACTAAACTCCAGCTAAATCGGCTGTTTTTTTTAGCGGGTTTGTTTTGGATTATTTAAAAAATTTAATTGGGTGTTATGAGTCAACAATTAGTCAAATATATATTTACCCAAACATAGAATACACACAATATTTTATTTTGTTGCGTAACAGTATTTAATTGTTTATCTTTTAACTCTTATGTTATTCTTATACATTTTTCTAAGGCCCATATTTGTGTGGCCCTTTTTTTCTATAATATTTAATTGCTGCAAATACCAGACTTTACCTGTGAGACAATAAAGGGATTTTCTATTCAATTCAATGCTGCAGCAGTTGGAAAAACTCAAAGCAGCAGTACAGAGTCGCGGCCACACGGTGGCGCCAAATCACTAAATCATGAAGCTGTGAGGGAAGAATCGCCCCTCCACTGTTTTAGCTCAGTAGATCCCTGGGGTCTTTAATCCTGCAGGTTCTGTAGAGTCATTGGATCTGCACAGATGTTTGCAGTTTATGTTGATGGAAAAAAAATCTTCTGGGCAAAATTAATAATGATTTATTTTTTGTTTGTTTTATTTATTTATTTAGGTTTATATTTCATGCATAAAAAAACAAAACTCCAGCTAAATCTGCTGTTTTTTTAGCCTGTTTGTTTTGGATTATTTTAAAATTAAATTGGGTGTTATGAGTCAACAATTAGTCAAATATTTATTTACCCAAACATAGAATACACACAATATTTTATTTTGTTGCGTAACAGTATTTAATTGTTTATCTTTTAACTCTTATGTTATTCTTATACATTTTTCTAAGGCCCATATTTGTGTGACCCTTTTTTTCTATAATATTTAATTGCTGCAAATACCAGACCTTCCCTGTGAGACAATAAAGGGATTTTCTATTCTATTCTATTCTATTCAATGCTGCAGCAGTTGGAAAAACTCAAAGCAGCAGTACAGAGTCGCGGCCACACGGTGGCGCCAAATCACTGTAAATCGTGAAGCTGTGAGAGAAGAATCGCATCTCTGTGGGAAAACCTCCACTGTTTTCGCTGAGGAGATCCCTGAGGTCTTTAATCCTGCAGGTTCTGGAGAGTCAGTGGATCTGCAGAGATGTTTGCAGAATGATCTCAGGTGAGGTGTGGTGTAGGACTGCCTGTCTCCTTTAATATGAGACTTTTATTTAAAAAGCTCAGTGAGCTGTGAGTCGATCCAGTCCTGATCTGGTTCTGATCCTGTAGGTTCTGCTTCTTGGATGGAGACATCAGTGTGATGTTCAGCCTGTTAACTTTTATGATTAAGGAGGAGCTGCTGGCTGAGCAGCCTGGAGATCTGCCCAGTTCTCCCAGCAGCCAGGGAGGGTTTGTAGTGGAAATCAGTCCCTGCTTTAGTTTTTGGACTTTTAGCCTCTTGGATGCTGCGATCACTGCCTGGTAGCACCATAGCTCCACTCCTGCAGACACCTATAACTGGCCCCCAGGGACCAACAGATGCCAGCTCCTTTAACCGTGGAGGGTTTGGCAGTCAGAGGTTGGTCAGTGTGATCCTCTCTGCCTGAAGCCATTTTTAGGGTTGAAACAATCCTTGACGTTATCCATAAATCA